AATTCTAACAATTCAAATTTCAGATGGCAAAGCCCTACATTATGATAAACAGCCAATTAAAACCCTCATGTTGAAAATCAAGTACATTGTAGAGTTTGAAAATGAACAGGAAGCCACAAACTTCTTAAGCAAGTAGTAATTGTAATAAGATATAAACAAAGGAAAGTTGTAAAAACTGTTAAAGTTTCATGTATAGACATAAAAAAAAAAATGTAAGAGTTATTGAAAAAAATGTTTTGTCTCACAAACAGCATACACTAAGAAACAGAGGCTAATGCAAATGTTTAATGATTTGACTCAACTCCAGGAAAATTACTCTTAAGATATTAACAAAAAACAATGATTAATGTAATCTTAAAATGAAAAAAAGTCTACTTGTCAACAAAATGGAGTCACAGCTTCATTGAAGAATGGAATCTGAAACATCATCTCTAAAGTAAGAAAATGGCAGAAGTTCAAAGAAAACTCCATCCACATGTTGAACATATTGAGAATCAAACAAAATGTAACACTGAAGAAAAAAGCATATGATAACATGAGAAAAGAACCAAATAACATGTTTTTTTATAGGTATAGTGAAAAATAGGGCTCACCAAAGACAGTAAAAGCAAAAGAAGGAACCACCACTAAATTGACTAGTACAGAGTCACTAGCTAGCATAAAGAATCTTGACTTAAGCCCAGCATTCAGGATAATAAGAAAACTGAAAGGATAAGAATACAGGAAATCATTGGACAAAAGTTGCATTAAAGATTTAGGTATATAATTATCTAAAAGCAGGTGTTCACATCCAAATAAAATTTAGATTTCAATGCTGTAGGATTGAAATTCTTGAGAAGTGTTTTTTTAGTTATCTTATATAAAGTTTAGCTGAGATGTTCTGTGTCAATTTATGATGATCAACAAAAACTTTCAGTTAGTTAGACCGTTCTTCTAAATTGCAACAAAAGAAGCTGGATATAATGTTCAACCTAAATGTTCCATATGCATGATGTGTGATAAGATATTTTTTATGAGAAGATGCCTGATTAGATAGAAGATGTAATGAAATGTTTCATGATCAAATATAGTACTGTAGTTACATACAAGGTTGTAATTAAATGTTGCACAGCTAGCCATAATGATTTATTTTAAATGTTGCATGGTTAGATATAATAGTTCCAAGCAGTTGGATGGTTAAATATAGTTATAATAAAGTTTTGGGGGCCTAGATATAACATTCTCTTGAACTGTAAATACAGTATTGTTACAAGCAGTTGCAAGGTTATGCACTTATGTTGTAATAAAACAATATTTTACTGAAACACTGCATGATTAAACAATGATTTAATTCTAAAGAGTGGTATGTGCCATGGTTAGATACAAAACTATATTCATATTGAGTGTTTCATATTCATATTGTTGTAATTAACTATTGCTGAGCTAGATATAGTTATTCTGAAACAATACATGAACAAAGATTTCTAAACATTAAGTATTTTCGTAATTTTAAGAATATACTAACATCAGATACAACAGTTGTTGAAATTTTGTGTTTTGTTGTAATGTTTACATACAAGCTACAAATAGTTCTGAATTTCTTAGTGCCAAGATAAGAGGTTCTGTTGAAATGCTTCATAACATTTTGATATTAAATATCAAGCTATACATTTGTACCTATTGCTTTTAAATATAATATAAAATTACATACAGAAAACTTTAGCTCATTATCAACACTTTCCAATTAAAAACACATTATTTTAGCTTTCAGAGTAGACTAAGCAATAATTAATTCTAAAATGTTAGAATATAATGTTCTGTTGATATAGGTCCTAACATTTGACATAAAATATCAAGCTACACATCTTTACATTTTCCTATTTAGCATAAGAAACTGCACAAATAAATAACTTTGAGCTCAACATCAATATATTTCCCAATAAAACCATATATTATTTTAGTTTTTAGAAAAATAATATTTTTAAGGAAAATGTACTAACTTCTGAATCATACTTAGCTTCTGATTTTGTGCACGCATTCATTACTTCCAATTTATCACTTACCCAATTATATTACTTATAAAAATTCTTACAAATAGCAACATTATTGAGAATCAGACTGCACTAGTATATTTCTTTTATACAATATTCTTATCAATGTATTTCATTTCATTCATTTTCACACACACATACACACACTGTGATAGGGCTATATGAAATTTAATTTAAAGACAATTAAATTAAGCAAGCAAATGCTCTTTCATTTGTAATGTGCAATAAATATTTAATTTTCTCCACATTACACCTGTTTAGATTTTAATATGGGTGGGAAGTATTTAATAAGTTCAAGGTAGAAAATCCTAGGTTTCCTAGAGGTCTATGGTTTAGATGCCTGACACAAACAATCACAAAGTAATCTACACAGTACCACATATGTTAGTTAAAATTAAACTAAAATCCATATTTTTTTAATTTAACACAAATACTCTAGTATAAGTTTCGATACTTTTGCTTGCCCTCCTAGATCAAACAGTGTCCTATATAAAAAGAAAGATTCATTCCAGTGCACAACTTATCAGAGGAAATTTTATCCATTATTTCATGTAGAATACACACATTTCCATTCTTAACATCTTTTTCATGTTCTATGATTCTTGTGTTTATATTTCTTACTTTTTCACACAACTAGCAAGGAATTATATAGATGCTTTGTTTTATGGGATTTTTTATGTTAGATTCTCTTTACGTGTTGGGACTCTTGTAAGTGACTATAAATGAATTATTCTTTATATTATTTTCTATGGGTTCGAACTTACTGATGTAGTTTAAATTAAATGATTCTTCTTTTAAACTTTATATCAGGATGCATAACTGGAATATTATTTGATAATGAAAGCGACATTATAAAATTAGATAAAAACAATAAAATTGTCATTTTGGAGAAACGCATAAGAAAAAACTGAAGGATCAACTGAAATACCAAAATATCTTCAAAAAAATGTAAATTTAATCCATTCCAAGGAAGATTGGCAAATTTAACAAATCACTATTTAATCTTATGTCTGATTATCCAGATTTTCTAATGAACTTTAAATGCATTAACTCTTTGCTACCATACAAGTAGGGTTTACCCACAACCTATAAACAAAACTACCCATCATTTCTAACATGGATACTACAACCTATTCATTATTCAATTGGTCATCAAAACACCTGTCCTGTGAAAAATTTTGCCATCCTATATCAAAAACAATTAACACTTTGAGAATAAAACAAAAACCTTGACATAAAAGGTGAGAAATAGTTGGTTTTGATGTTGTTGCAATATTTACTAAGATACCAATACTACAAGCAACAGAATATGTAATAAAAAAAATCATAAGGTCTTGAAATAGAGCTTCCCATTCCTGTTAAATACATTCATCTCCCTCGTTGAAATGTGTGTTGATAATAATGTTTTCACATGGGTAGGACAGTACCAAAACAAAGATAAAGAATGACAATACCAACAATACTATATAACATTTTGATGGAATATTTGAAAACTGAATTTCTTCCATTAATAGGCACTAATTCCATGATTGCACTATGTAGATGATATTTTTTTCAGTTTGGATTATTTTCAATCCTTCTTTAAGCACACAAACTATCTTCACAAAACTATAAAATGTAAAGTTGAATAGGGAAAAAAAAAAATCATTCCTTTTCTTGATCATACTTAAAACTATAATTGATTCAAGGCCTTTTATTTCTGTCTATTTACCTATGAGCCCTCTAAGCTATGCCCATTTTTCTTTTAAAAAAGATTATATTACAGAAGATACATAAATGACACAATTGTTCTGTTTAAAAATAAATCTGATGTACATAAATTTCACAACTATCTAAATGGTCAACATGGTAATATTAGACATATAGTTGAAGAACAAATTGCATCCACCTTATCATTTTATACATTAAAATAGTTAATTTAAGAAAAAGTTTTAAAAGTAAATACTACTGTAAACTAACATTAATTTTTCCTTAGAATTTTCTTTATAAGTTCCATCTTAGTGCTATAGCTTAAAGAAAGTGTTTCTTCATTTTTTTTCTGGTATATGTGATTTAAAATTTCAGGTTTACTGCTTTCAGGATTTCATAGTTTAAACTACAAGAAGGTACACAAAAACTTATCCAAAGTAGAATTTTTGGTAATAAAACACCTCAGTTTGGTAGGTAATTTATTAATTCTTAAACAAGATAAAGGCAAAGGTATAGTAATTTTGAATAAGAAAGATTACATAGATAAAGTTTTGACTATTTTTAAAAGATACAAAGTTTAGAAATTACAAAGATCCTATGACCTTGAAAGAGAGAAGTTTACAAAATTATATTTTAAACATTAAGAAAGAAGGATTAATAACTAAAACAATTGGTTCACACTATGGAATATTTTATGGATTACCTAAAGTACCCAAAATAAATTGTCCTATAAGGCCAACTGTTTCATGTATAAATACTTCTACTGATTAAAATAGCAGGTTTTTTTAACATCATGTAATACCACAAAAACATATAAAACATTAAAAATATATACACCTAAAAACCAGATAGATCTTTTTCAAACATAAAATAGGTACCAGAAAAAACAAACAAAAAACTTTGTTTAAGCTATAGCACTAAAATGGAATTTATAGAGAAGATTCTAATGAAAAATGAATTTATCATCACTTACAAGTACCCCAATACTAGTTAAAATAACCTAACATTAAACAAACCCCTACAAAAAGATACAAAGCATACCAAAGAATCACTGAACATAAGATATATATTAAAAATAGAAAGATAAATAATAGCATTTCCTATATATATATATATAATAATATTACTGACACTACTAATAAACGTAAGAAGTACTACTACCGTAACTTACTAAACTTAAAACTAAC